TTGCTTTTAACGTATTTTAAAGTATTTGTTTAGCGATTTTACGAAAAAAATTATTTTCCTCATATAAAATATAAGGCAAACTTCAAAGCCCCCGCGGCAAAGTTAAATATTAACCGATTTCAAAAAAAAAAAATACGATTATTCAATTCTGGGGAGTTGCTGCAAATAAGACTGATTTTTTTGGACCAACCTAATGTACTTACGTACATGTACGTACACGCTTAAAAACGTCGAAGTTTTATTCCCATTTCGTCGTTTCACTTACTTTCGCACATTTTTTTTAAGGTTAAGATATCGCAGGTTGCTCTTGAGTTTTTTTTGAAATATTTCAGTAACTTTTTTAAGAAAATAAATTTTAAATGGAATTAGAGAACTAGTACTACAATTTTTTTTTTGTTTTGAAGTAAATGTGTACCTATGTATGTATTTATGAAAGTGCAGAATTGTAACAAATGTTTGCGTTGGTGTTATTTACTGCTTTTCATACTTGTGGTAATATCAGCAATATTTTTTTTTATCGTTTTTCTGTTGTTACGTGTTGTGAAATTTGTTGTTATCTTTGGTGAAAGGAGAAATACAGAAGATCTCATGGCAAGCAAATTTTTTTCAAGAATGGAGTTCTAGAAATCGCCAAGTTAAACTTTTGCGGTTTGTATTTACACCAGTAACGATAGGAGAGCGCTTTTACTCTATGCACGTTCATATTAAATTTAGAGAAGGCCTTCAAAAATGTGTCCCTTTTCTAGTATGTCTGTCGAATGCTAGGAGAAAATCAAATGAGAAATATACAGCTGCTATTTAAAATAAAAAAAAAAAATAATAATCAAATTAAAAATAATGTAGCAAATCAAATAAAACACGGCAACTCAAATATGTATGTAATTGTATTTACTTTCATATAGATATGTTTATTTACAATATAATAAAATTAACAACTAATTTATAGTTAAATTGGCAAACATATTTACTTATATATGTACATACAAATAATGCAATTATTTTCACGCAAATAACATTTAACTCTGAATAATTTTTGACTTTTATCTTAAATGAAATAAATCTTTTTAAGCAGGAAGACAAAATCTAAAAATACAAAATTAAAACTAAACACAAAAGGAATTTGTAAGCAAGTGAATAATTACAACAAAATTTGCCTGCTTTTTTGTAAACGTATTTACCTATTATAGTTACCTACTATTATTATTGTTATTGCAGCAGCTGAATTTAGAAAGTGTATACGTACATATTACCGTGGGCCGAAAATCCGCTTTTTTAGAATTTTATGGTTCATTATGATTTTTGCCAATAACGTAGGCTCGCCAAAGACCATCAAAGTTCAATGTGCTCAAAAAATAAAAACTAATAAACACATTCATTTATACATTTTTTTTTTACTTAAATTGCAATTATCTTCGAAAGTATTAGTCCTACATAATTTAGTATATAAAAAAAATTTTTTTAGCAGATGAAGTTTGAGGGACTTGGGCGAGCCCAGGATATTGGCCAAAAATTGTCATCATTCACACAAATTGTTTTCAGAGCATAATGGGCCATATTTTTGCTATAACCACTCAAAATTCTAAAAAAGTGGATTTTCGGCCCACGCTAATATCCATGGAAGTGTATATCGAAGCGAGCAAGTTTATTTACGAAAAGTCGAAGAATTACAGAATTTTTGAGTATTTCTCCTTACAGTTTTGCCAAAATGTGTAAATAAATTTGTAATAAAGAAGTAAAATCATGAAGCTGCTGCCTAAATGTTGCATACTTCCAATGTATTTTGGTTATTTTCGATCGACAGATGACTGAAAACTGACTGAGTAATAAAGGTAAATATATTCACACATTTACGTACAAATGTATATACCTATGTATGTATAGATATATATTGCGTGTTTACATGTAGAACCCTAATTTCATGATGAATCGCAATAAAAATCTGCATCGGCTAGATAGCGAGTTCGAAAAAGCCAAATTGATTGCGAAATTTTGTGGTCGAAAGAAATCGGTAAAAAATTTCACTTAATGAGTTGAATGGTAAAATAAGTTTCGTAAAGGCTAAACTTTTACTGTCAGTCTATCTTCGTTCCCATGCAAAAAGATGTCTTGAAAGTCAAAGGCTTTTATTTTTTTTTTGGTGCCCAAAAACGTGGAAGAATTGCCAAATCTCGTTATTAGCCGAGCCACCACAAGACATGAGGATTTGATAATACAGGAAATTTTCGAAGCTAATCCTCCAGCTTTAACCTTCAAAGCTGCTCAACCGAAATTGACTCGAAGGAGCATACATACATGTCTCTCAGACCACAATAGAGCGGCCGTCTGAATGGGTACTTGTACGTCAATACCGGAAAAGTATACGAAATAAGTGGCATGCGTAACGTAGAGAGACGCCACAATGAAATGGTGTTGCGTTTGTAAACAAAAATCAGCTGTTCTTTATGGCCGCGTACTTTGGGTTTATATGTATTCATTCATACTTGTTTACTAATATTTTCACACACCTCTTATTGTCTCCTTTACTGCCTTCGATTTTTGCAGACAGTTTATTGTCTGGACACCTACTTTCTCTTATGTAAATGAAAGGTTATACAAATGTCAGCTTTGCCGGACTTACTCATGCATCAAATGTTGAGAGTTGACCAACGTTCGTTGGTTCTGTCGACACAAGGATTGCCAATGTCAGTTTCATCTTTGAGCGCAAAGTATCCATACTGATGGCGCCCTAAAAAACCCTCAGTAGATCTAATTGGGGCAAAAGTAAGCTGCTTCAGCGTTCTGTGAAATATCCAGGAAAAGTTCATATTTGTGGACACTTCATAAGACAAGGATTCGACAAACTAATCATTTAGATGTCAGCTTCATGAGAAACGACGGTATATCGTGAACTTTTGTTATCAACAGATAAGTGGTTTTGGACCAGGAAGCCGAGATTAAGTTCTTCAAAGACGCAACCAAATAAAATAACGAAGCCGCGTGCGTACATATCTCATTAGATGGGCCTTAGCAGTCACCAGATTCAAATCTGATTGAAAATGTTTCGGCAGAAATGAAGCTACAACAAAAATTCAGACAAATGTACAATAAATCGTACCAAAAAAAAAAGATCGACCGAAGGTAGGGAACACCTTTTTACATTTTTCTTCATATCTTTGGTATTTACTGTCGGATCTTAAAAATGATGATATATCGATGTTTTTGTCTCGAGAATACATTTTTTTTGTTTCAAAGTTCATTGATACCAAGTGCTCTTCTAGTACTTACGCTCTAAGTGCGATCTTTTCCTACCACCCTAATGCCAGTAAATTATAGATATCCCGAAATCATCAAATTTTAGGCTAGGCAGAATTTTGATTAGATTTTTGTTTTTTTGCCCGAACGTTGGTAGGGGTCGCCTTTTGGCATATCTTCGGCATCTATAGTTCCACAGCAAATTATGACATCTAGATGTTTTTATCACGAGTAGACAACTTTCTGCTGCAAAGTTCATTGACCTCAAGTATCTCGTTTTAGTATTTACCTTATCAGATCTCAGTTCTTATAACACGCTAATCTTATTAAACTCGCCAAAAATCATTAAAATTTTTCTTTCGAAGCTTTTCTTTATAAATCACGCGCTCTCTTTTCTCCGCTTCAATGAAACTGCTAAGTCAGGCGAGACCGCTTTTACTTTTTTTCGAGACGTCGCAAAATTTTACGAAATTCATGAATTGATGAAAATATCTGTAAGCCTAAACTAATCGAAAAAATCTTGTTTGTTCAAATTCTGCATATTGGTGCTCGCTCGCTCGTCATGTCAGCCATCAAGGGTTCTGAATGTAAACACGCAATATATTCGTTTTTTTTTTCGTTTAAATGCTCTTCCTTGAGTGTATTATGAAACGTTAATTTTTCGAATTTCATTTATTTTGGCTATATAAATATTTCAACTACTATTCGCCGTCTACTAACTACAACAGCAACTGCATATGTATGTATATTTTTTTCTTAGTTTAATTTTTTTTACGATTTTTAAAATTGGTAAAAGTTGGTGTTGAATTTGTTTTGGATTCGTGGGCTTTCATGAACAACGCCCAACCCTAAAATTGCCTAAGCGAGTTCCCTTCTATGTCAAGAATAACACAGACTACGCTCTAAATTTATTCCATACAAAAAAAAAAAAAACTATTGCGTGCTTGAGAGGTTGCTGCTAACGCTCATCGAGGACCTGAGGACCTTGAGGCACGTGTTCAATTGAGGAAATAATATAAAATACAAAACATGTGTTTAATTTATAATCTAATTACTTGGTAAAGTTTTACAGTTTTCGTTTTGGTTTTGACTATCAGTTATTATAATTTCTAAAAATTTAGTTTTTGTAATTTTGAGTTGATTTCATAATAGTTTGTTTTATGTTAAGTTACGTTGTATGTATGTACGCCTGTCTGTTGTTATGCTTAATGCTATTGTTTTTGTTTTTTTGCATTTATTCTGACATGTTCTCGTCTATGTTTCTAAATTTATGTAGGTTTGTATTCCAAAAATTTGACACTGCTTTGCTGTTTTTTTTGTTTAATACTTTTAAAATGTGTTTCTTTCAATTTCATCTCATTTGTTCGTTTGTATTTTTTTTCTGTTTTCGCTTTCGAAGAATGCTAAGAAGTTTAACTATTTTTGCCGTACTTATTTGCTGTCAAATTTTATTAAAATTTTAAAAATATAATTTTAGTGCTCATCCTAATTTTTTTCACTTTTACTTTTATTTATTACTATAATTGAATCGATTTTGTTACTAAGTGATATTTGTAAGTTTTTTTTTTTTTTTAAAATTTTCATTCGTCTAGTTTTGCAATTTTTTCACTTTTTATTTATTTATTTATGTAAGTAAATATTTACATGGCTAAATAGTTGTGTATGTGTATCTGGCTAGGTGTTATCGTACGTGTGTGTTGTTACTCTTGTTGTTGTCGTGTTTTACATAGTCACTTTAGTTATTTTACTTAGTACATTTTTGTGTGTTATTGTTTTTGTTTTTGTTTGTATCTTTTCTATCTCACATTTTCGCTGATAATTAACTAATTTTACAAATCAATTGTGGCGTTGTTGTTTTTTTTCCAACTTTGCTTTACAACTACATAAAATTATTAAATAAAAATATAGAAAATTGAAACAATTGTTATACAAAAATTAAGTTTGCAGTAAAAAAGTTGAATTACAATATTTATGGCTGTTGCTGCTAACAATAGAAACGTACACCATCCACCGAAAGGACTTGCTTTAATTTTCATTTATTTTGCCGATTCGGCTCAGGAAATAAGTGCACTCCCTCAACGCTGAATATTGATGTTTCTGTAAGAAGAAAAGGATAAATACATTTTATTATTTGCATGTGATTTTTTTATAAAGTCAATAACCTATTAATAGAAATCAAGTGTTAGTTAGTTGTGGGATATATGTGCGAAAAACCTCCTATGTACCTCTACGATAAACTAAAAAAAAAAATTGCGAGCGGATCCCACATGCAACCAAATTTCAACTTCTTCTTATTACCGGAATAGGGTATTTTATATAATATCTTAAGCTTAACCGAGCCGAAGCACGATCGCCATCCCATCCCTTCTTCTGACATTTCATTGAAGTTTGGAATTACAGCCCAATAAACTTGTCGCTTTTTCGTTTTATCGGCAATTGGATGTGCAGCCAAACGAGCGAAAAAAAAATTTCATATCAAAAATCTAGTAAACACCATTAAAACCATTACTTTCGGTAATGGTTTGGGAGATGCACTGACATTTTTTCTGGTTCTGCTAGATTCCAGCTCCACAGAAAGTGTGTTCAGGAAAACTGAATGTACGATTAGTTACATTTTGTTGGACCTTCATATAGTCTCTTCTGCCACTCACGATACTCAACGCTGATCAGTTTCTGCCTGGCTAGCTACAAGGCAATTTCACTGCGATAGATGCAGGCGTGTTCCAGCACAAAGATACAATCATATATATGTTTGTACGTGCAACAAGCTTCCCCTGGAAGCAGAAAGACTTTCCGTTCTAGCTCGCTTCTTTACCGCGAGGAGCCTAAACGAAATCCACCACCAGGACGTTTGAGGTCACGCTGCAGTTGAGAATTCACTTCGATTATACTAATTCCAATCACAATTGTGAACAACCTGCAAATCTTAGGGGATACATTTGACAACCTACTCTTTTTGTTGGTACAAAGCCGCGAAAAAGTCCTTAAATCGCATGCCAGCAAAGCAATTGGCCGCTCGGTCATAAACTATGCAACACCGAATACTAGACAGACGCAGCCCATTAAACCACAGATAGTAAGGGTCGGCCGTCATCGACACGATTACCCGACCAAGCAATTTGTAGAAGCAGCAAAATGTTCTTAGGCATGTCAGAAGATACTTCTACGAACTATCAGGCCGATTCTGAACACAAACTTCCTGGGAGTTTTCTCTCTTTTCCCTTTCCTCCTATCATGAATAAAAATTGTCTAAGGATTTTTTATATTAAATGGCGGAGTTGACCTGTCAAAAAAGTGTCAAACAGCTTTTTCGAAGCTCGAATTGCCTCCACCCAAATTTTCGGCGAAAATGCTACTCCCTGGGGGTTAATTATTGGAGGATTTTTTAATCGGGAGAAACAAATTCCCGGAGAACAAACTCCCCGGGAATATTAAGAATTGCGCTGTATAAGTATTGCGATATCTAGCACTACATATCGATGGTCCTCTGCAATAAAGACACAATTCAAAATTAAAAAAAAATAAAAACGTTTACTACTGTTAAGTGGCTCTTGTCTCTAATCCTTGTTTAATCCATTTTAAACCCTTACTAAAGTAAGCAGTAAGGATTTCTAAAGGTTAGACGTGAATTCGAGAAGGACTAAGGACATGAGCCACTTAACAGTAGTAAGGGCTTTTATTTTTTTTGTATTTAGAATTGTGCCGTGACCGCACAGGACCATCGATATGTAAATCAACCACTAGATCCTACGCCGTACAGACAGACAGGCAATCAATGACATTCATGCATAGACCATCACCAACTCACGCCACCTGAACGCCGTCATCGGAGTTCAACTACCTCCCATTACAGAGGAATAGCTTCAGCTGTCTCGATAGATCCGCAATACTCTGGCACAATTGGCTGATTGTAATCCTTTATACTAAGACTTGTCTCAGACGTAACCAAATTTCGAATGTAATGGATAAGAAATTTTTATTTAATTATTATTTATTTTTTTCTCCATTGGAAGGAGCAAATACCAAAAATAAACTATGCCGCCTTAAATATTACAGAATTCAGAACTCAAATCAATGTGAATATGATTTGTATGCAAAATTCTGAAAATTATGCAACACCAATATCCTCAACGAAAAACTGATTATGAAAGTTAAATGTGTTTACCCATAAAAATGAGTTGAATTCAGTATAATTGTAAGCAAATGTGTCAAAATTAAACATAAATAGTATAAAAAAATTACCATACATTTGTATCTGTGCCTGACTGCATACATACATATGTATGTAAGTATGGCAGTAATTTGTACAGTTCAAATTAGTTCGCAGGAAATGTGATTGCCGACTAGCGGTGGAATAAATTAAATTGGACTTTCGCAGAATTTCCACAGCTTTTGGGGCAGGTACCACATGGTTCTGGCTGCGGTTAGGGAGGCAAGCGTAGGCGGTTTGTTTGATGATGCGTTCAATTGCAAATCATATTTATTTGCGGTCGACTGTATGCAGGTAAATTTGCCAATCATATTAGTTGCTATCATCATATATATGTAAGTAGTTCAATGACTTCATGAGAGCTGAATTATAGATTCCCAGTCAAACAAATATGTAATCGGAAATAAATGCATTTACATATGCGTGTATGTGATGTACACTCAGCAGCAAAACTACTAATAAAAATATTTTGATTGATTGGGCTTTCAGCCAGAAATACCTCCTAGTTACCGTTAGCATCTTGTACATTGCACTGGCCAAAATAGATTAAGGATGTTAGAAACAACTTGTAGAGTAGTTAGACATCTGGCACAGGTTGGATAATGACTAATAATAACGTTAATGATAATGTTATGGCCATGTAGTACCACACAAATGAAAGTAAAATAGGATTTTTTAGTAAAATAAAATTTTTGTCTCAGTAGCAGGGAACGTACATAAATGTTATGATCATATAATATATATAAAAATTTTACAGTTAAAATTTTATTTCTATTTTGTGATCGAATTTAACGGTTATTTTATGATTTTTATCTTTTCAATTAAAAACAATCGTTATTTTGGAATATTTATTGTTTCAAAAAATTTCTTTCGTAATTTTTGATTTTTGTTTTTTAGATCATATTATAACCATTATTTTCTAATTAATTTTTTAGATCATAAGAGATTTAAATCGGTGCTAACGATTAAAAACTGTCGAAAAAAACCAAATTCCAAATTTATGTATTATTCTTATCGGAAAAATATTTTTATCTATTTAAGAAATGAGGCTGTATCTCTAAGACTTTTAAATTGGAAAATGCAATTTGTATACAAAGTAAACTTAAAGCTAACAATTTAAGCAACAGAAAACATTAATAGATATAAATGAAAAAAATAAAAAAAAATATAACGATTTCGCAATGATCTAAAAATAAATATATTCCAGGAGCATAGGGGTACACTTAAAAAAAAAAACAAAAAAAAAAATCAGTACAAAATATTTCAAAACAAGCTTGAGTTTTAAGGGCCCATCGCACATAGACTTGTAATATATGTAGATACATATTTAAGAACCGTGAAATTTTTGTTCATAATACAAATATAATAAAGCAAGCACTGAATAAAAACATGACCACATTTTTTCTGGCCTAATTTCTATGCCTTTGGCAGCGTTCGGACTTGAGCTTGCATAAATAAGTGGCAATAAGAGTGTACTGATTTTTCGAATTTTGTCGCCGAGTGTATTTGTGTGCACACATGCACAGGTATATTAGAATAACCTATTTAAACAGAAGTGTGTTGTATGCTTTCATAATATTTACACAAGTGCTTAGAAGCTCAATAGCAATTGAGGTAATTAATGGATATTTTCGCAAAATCATATTTATGTATGAAGTATGCATGTATGTGCATAAGCAAATAAAGTGCATTGCATTATGCATACGCTGTATGCATAAATAGGCCTCAAATTATATTCATACATACATAGGACGACGCTTAAGTGTGACAGGTAGTAAATTGGTTTGTAGTGTGGCATTAATTTCAATTTGCTCGAACACTTCATTCTGAAAACATAAGTATATATATTAGTGTGGTCCAAAAAAGCATGTGAAAAAGTAAAGTCGGAATTTTTATGCTCTCACCCCCTAGGATGGTTCTATATCGCAAACATATACCCTTATTTTTTATTTTTTTGAAATCAAAAAATATTTAGGGGTCGCTCAAAGTGCTCAAAGTTCTCCGTGTATTTAATATGAGCAAATACACTTTTCGTACAAATGGTATAGAATTCTTGAAAATCAATATATTTCGATCGGAGAACTCTGTTACTCTTCAGGATATTCCCAGGAATAATATCCAATTATTTATTTAACAATTTTTTCATAGACCTATAAAATGGTCCGCCAAACCCCCAAAGAGTGCAAGAAAATGCAATGGGGTATAAACAAAATAACTTTAGTATTAAAAAATGGTTAAAGAAACAATTGGGTATTATTAATGGGAACCTCCTGAAGAGAACCAGAGTTTTCCGATCGAGAAATATTGATTTTCAAGAATTCCATACCATTTCTACGAAAATTTGTTTTCCCCCATATAAAAAACATGAAAAACTTTGAGCGCTTTCAGCGACCCTTAAATATTTTATTATTTTAAAATAAAAAATAAGTTGGATATAGAACAATTCTAGGGGGTTCCAACTTTACTTATTTTGGACCACCCTAACATACATACGCATAACTACATTATCCTGCGGCATTTTAAATAGTAGTTGTTGTAGTTATTGTCGCTGAACTTCTATTTAATTACTTTATGCCGAAATGTTTTGAAACATAATTATGACAGCTAATGAATTGTATACAAACGTAAATACATATTAAATAAATTGTTTGCATTCTTTGTACCAACGGTGGTTCGGTGTGGTTCGTCAACTGCAGCTTTTGGTTGCATAAATTAAAATCGCCGTTAGATACATAAATCTGCAAAATTTTGGTGTTATTTCATTGTGGGTAATTATGCTAAGAGTTGCTTTGATGGTGTATGGTGCAACAGAAAAAACTACTTTAAATGCCACATAATTGAAAATTTAATGAAAATGCAGCAAATTGAATAAATGAATGAATTGACG